GACATGAACTGATTTTGTTGTGTTTTTATATGAATTATGTCCACTGTTGGAAAATCAGCGGTTCTGTTGCTGCAGCATTACAGGCCGGGATCCCGCAGGTTTGTTTTTGCTCCATAAACTTATATAATTATTTGACGTGTTTATATGTGACTTGAGATCTTTGACATAACATGGTAAAACTTATTGTTTGTCTACAAGGTTAATGGATTCTTTGGTTGTACAATAACTAGTATGGTTGATGAATACTGTGCCGATACATTAGAAGAACATACATGGTCTTTAATCATGTCTGCTCTTTAGTTAGGCTACAAGTAAACTTAACCAGTCCTTTCTCATAAACCAAAGTCTTATGCACTGGCTGGTTTCTACAGATCATATGCCCGTTTATGATGGATCAGTTCTATTGGGCAGAAAAGATGTCATGGCTTGGGGTTGCTCCTCAACCATTGAAAAGAAACCACCTGCTTCTTGAGGAAACAAATGATGAGAACATCATTGAAGCTGCACAAGTGGTAGCAAAAGCCATATACGATGCACTGTCTGCAAAAACTAGGACTCGTGCCATGGAAATCGCTGAAATATTATCTCGTGAGGTAACTTATGATCAGTCTTTTTTTACCTTTCTTTCTCCTTACTGATCCATGGCCCAGAATCAAAGTAACTTTTCTTTCCATGGGAGTTTTTCAATGTATTTATGCAGTCTTTTCTGATAGTTTTCTTTCGGGTATGAAAAATAATATAATTTCAGGATGGAGTCTCAGAAGCTGTGAGAGTGCTTAGAGAAGAGGTGTGTGAAGTTTGAGGCAGCAACCGAAAAGATGGATAAGCGTAGTCATTAGTCATAGACAACGTAAAAGCTTATTATATCAAGTGATGGTGATCAAATGCATGATGATTATTGGCAAATCATAAAAGGTCTACTGTTTGTGCTCCTTTGGATAGCACTGTGTAGAAATAAAGTCTTCATCTATTGTCAGTAATAAATTCTTCATCTGAACAATTATAGAGAATTTGTGAATTCATTATAACAGCTCTCATCTCAAGGATCGTAATACCCTTCCCACAAATAAGAAACTTTTTCTCGAATCTTATCGATCGACCCAACATCCACAGGCCCGGCTCATATCTTTGTTTATGAGTGAAACTTATATGAATTCGATTACTATAAAATCAAGAATTTTGTACGCAGAGAACAAGAGTCATAAGTGATTAAAGTATAATAATCAAAATGCTTTGAGCTTGGTTTAATGCTTTTGTTTTAAGTATAATAATCAAACCATCGATGTAAATTTTTATAAATCAAAAGTGTGAAAACTGGAGAGAAATTGTCAATCGGATCGAAATTTTCTAGTTTCCGAGGTCAATAGGTAAAACCAAACCAACTAGGCTTCTCCGGTTTGGTATGGTATGGTATGATTTTAATTTTATATCGATTTCAGTGAACTTTTGTAAGATTATTCGGTTTCGGTTCAGGCTAACCGAATTGGAACTCCTGAATTTAAAAACCCTACGATTTCCTCTCCGACCACCGTCTGCTTTCGTTTTTTCATCCCTTTTTAAATCCTTCGGATGATAATGAAATAGCGGTTGAAAGATGTTCGAAGGGCTTGTGCGACAGCTATTGTTAGGGTACCTAGGTCGCTACATCAAAGACATCCAGAAAGACCAGCTCAAGATCACTGTCTGGAATGGTATTTTCACG